ATAGATAGATAGATAGATAGATAGATAGATAGATAGATAGATAGATAGATAGATAGACACTCACAGTATATTGAAAAGACTGTGCACTTGAAGATTTCCAACATCTTGTCTGCTGATATTTACCTCATTGCCGAGGCCATCGACCACAGAGATGTAGTTTGGTTGGGACTTGTTGGGGTAGGACAACAAGATGTCGTAGGGCACCAACTCCACTGAGTCCAACCCAAAATCCAGCCACTCTTTCTGGATCTGCTCCGCATATTTTAGGTTCTGCTCTGTTCCAGCCAGATGGGGGAGCCGGGTAAATTTCCTGTGAAGACAATTTCCTGACACTCATTTAATTCGTATGGCCTCGGAGCCACCAGGGAATAAAATACCACCGTTCAGTTAGCCGTTTATATGGTACTAAAGTATTTTAGTGCCTGCTAGACGTAAAGTTCAGGTCTCCTAAAGAGAACTCTACAGCAAACCTTAAATCGTTTCAGGGTAAAGGACTTTTCAGGTTCAGTGAGTCAGTTTAGTTTTTTTTTGTTTGTTTGGTTTTTTACCTGTGATGTTCTCTGATCCGGTCTGTCTGCATTTCTTCCAGAAACTCCTTCAGATGTTTGTTCACATCTTTGTGCTTTTCAGAGTCTGAATGCGACGGCTTTGCAAACCAACCTACAACACACACACACAAACAGAAAACTATACAGTACTCGTGTTTACAACACACAGAAGAGGATTTTAATTTCAAAATTCTGAGATTAAAGTCAAATTTCAGGAAAAACAAGTATTTGTTTGCACTGTGGCGCTAATCCTCTTCCGTTGTGCATGGATGACTGTTATGAGTAAAAAAACGAGTGTTCAAGATATATATATATTTTTTTTACATTGGCAGCAATGGTAATCACATATGTTATGACCATAAAACGACCACCTTGTTAAAATAGACGTGGTTAAGGAGAACAAGTGTGAACCTGCTGTGAACACAAACATGTGAAGTTTGTCAAATTGGTGACAAATCACAAGGAACACTGAAACAGGACCACACACGTCATTCTGAGCAAGTCTAAAGCTAATTACGTGCTCTACTTGCCAAATATTGACATTTCTAAACAATTTGCGTGGCTTCCTGAGAACTTGTTTTCAAGAACTAAACTTTACTTGAATCAAACCAATAAGTGCCAGGTTGTGTTCCTGTTCCTTACCGATAATAAAGCCTGAAAAGAACAAAGCTGCCACAACAACAATCCACCAGATCCAGCGAAACATTCTGCCCTCCTTCCTCATTTTCCAGCAGCTCCCAGTTCAACACACTGCATGTATGCTCTGCAGAGACACAGATAAGGAGTAATTTGTTTTACTAGTGCACTGTGGGAGAACAGGAGAGTGAGATGGGGTGAGGCAGAGAGAAAAGGACGGGGGGGGGAGGTGACGGTGTTTGGCTGAAAGAGGCAGTGAGAGTAATACTGGAGAAGGGAGCCAGTCATTAGAGCTTTGCTTTGTCAGGACACTGACTGTTGTGTGGTGCACCTTGGCCAATAATGTGCTGCTGACTCAGCGGTTCTCATTATGAGAGCAGAGGAGCTTTGTGTTGTTTTTAAGGAAAATACAAGCTGAAATTTAAATTAAATGTAGGAGAAGGTCAGGAGTTCTGAAAAAGGAAAACATGAAAAACTGACATGAAGTGTGATTTAATGTTGACCCCACATGCAGGCAGACACCGGTGTCTCTCAGGTAAAAAAATAAACATTTATTTAAACACGAAAAAAGCAAAAGCTGTCGGGCAGCAAAACTTGCATGAATGAAATGACAGGAGGAACAGAACATGTCAGGCTGTGGTGCACAATCCACGAGCAAAGGAAAAAACACGTGCACTGTGTAGGGAGACTGACAAGGCATGCCTTAGGACTTAAACGCCGAAGCAACTTATTTATGTTTTTTCCCCACATTTATAAACCAAAATTTGGCTGAGATATGACTGTTTTCATTCATTCTGACTGAATATATTGACCATATCATACCAATTTATTTATAGAGCACTTAAAACAGCAACAAGGCCAACCAAAGTGCTGTACAATAAAAACAAACAAGCACAGTGGACAGGAAAACATAGCATAAAAATACAAATAGCAGCAGATAATAACTAAATGGCCAACACTGTAGAATACAGACAGGATCAAAACAACTCACACCGTGTCAAAGGCAAAGTGGGTTTTCAAGCGAGACTTAAAGACTGTGAGTGTGGGAGCCTGCCTGACATGCAGTGGCAACTCATTCCACAGTCTTGGACCTGCAACAGAGAAAGCCCCGTCACCTCTGAGCTTACGACGTGTTTCTGGAACTGAAAGGAGCATCTGGTCTGCTGACATCAGAGAGCGCGGTGGGAAATATGGCTGCAGAAGATCAGTGAGATAGGATGGGGCAGAACTGTTCAGTGATTTAAAAACATACAAGTATTTTGAACTGGATCCGAAGGTGAATGGGTAGCCAGTGCAGGGAGGCCAAAACTGGTGTAATGTGCTCTCTATGGCCTGTACCAGTTAAAAATCGGGCTGTAGTATTTTGGACCAGTTCTAGTTGTGCAATGGAGGACTGACTGATTCCAAACAGAAGTGCATTGCAGTAATCGAGCCTGAATGTTATGAATGCATGGATCACTGTCTCAAGATTCTTTTTGGAGAGTATAGGTTTCAGCTTAGACAGCTGCCTCAGCTGAAAAAAAAACAAAAACAAAAAAAAAAACAACAGAATTTAACAATCATGTTAAATGACATGAGGAGACATGAGGAGGTCCTGCCCCAGGTGGAGGAGTTCAAGTATCTTGGGGTCTTGTTCACGAATGAGGGAAAAATGGAGCGTGAGATCGATAGGGGACCGAAGATGGACCCCTGCGGTACCTCCCATTGAAGCGCTGCCGATGCTGAACTGAAATCTTTGACGTTGACACAAAAGGTTCTGTCAGGGAGGTAGGAGCTAAACCATTTGAGGGCTGACCCTGTGATGCCCACCCATTGCTCCAGCCTAGAAATGAGGATCTCATGGTCGATGGTGTCAAAAGCAGATGTAAGGTCCAATAGGACAAGCAGCACAGAATCACCTGCATCTGTGGCTAGGTAAATGTTGTTAAAAACCTTCTGTAGAGCAGTTTCAGTGCTATGGAGAGATGTGAAGCCAGATTGGAATAACTCTAAGATAGCGTGATCCTCCAAGAAACATTTCAACTGAGACTCAACTATTTTTTCCAGTAGTTTAGAGGTGAATGGGAGTCTGGAGACAGGGCGGAAGTTGAACACGACTGAGGGGTCAAGGTTAGGTTTTTTTCAGGAGAGGTCGGACAGCAGTATGTTTAAAAGTTTTTGGCACCACACCTGATGATAAACTTCTACTCACAATAGCGAGAATAGATGGACCCAGAGTAGGAAAATCCTCCTTTCCTAGTCGAGGGGGGACCACATCAAAGGGGGAACCAGAAGGATTCATGCTACACATTACCTGCTCCAGAGAGGACAGAGAGATGGGCTCAAAGTGGTCAAACACAGTTAAATTTTCAAGAAATGCGCAGCGAGTCCTCCCATACACGCACCTGCTTCTGCATCTCGGCTTTTGAAATACAGCTGATTTGACCGTTAAAGTGCATTTATTAAGCAAAAGTTAGACTGAGACACACCTTTACTATAATTTTTTAGGTGTTTATCTTGTTAAATTTCGAAGAAATACACAGCGACTCATCCCTCTGCACGCTCCTGCGAATCAGGTTTTGAAATGCAGCTGGGTTGACCGTCAAAGTGCATTTATTAAGCAAAATTTCAACTGAGATACACCTTTACTATAATTTCAAACAAACAAATAAATGTTTTGAAGTGTTAGTCTTATTAAATTCTTGTTAAAGTCCTCTTGTGCATGCTCCCGCCATTTGGCAGCCCATTAATTTGTGGCATAACACCGGTCCACATTTCCGTGTTGTCAGCGGTGACGCATAATAGATGCGATGCATACGGCGATGCATACGGCGAAGCAACGTATTTATGTTTTTTCCAACTTTATTAGACATACAGTATTTGGACTGATGCGACTTATAGGGCGGTGCGACATGTAGGTTGGAAAATACGGTAGAATTTGAGACAGGTGAGATAGGAGTTGACAACAAGGAGGGAAAACACGGGAGAGTAGAGGAAACACATGGCTCTGAATGGAACAAAATACAGATTCCCACATAAAAATGACCTTCAGCTTGTGTGTTTATTCTAAATACATTTAAAACGGTCACAAGTTTACAGCTACAAAACTTCTACGCTAAGAAGTTTATTGGATTGAAAAAAAGTTTCATTAAAGACCTATCTTGAAAGAATGCGTATTGCCCACCACCTTTCATGCCAGAGATGTTATATGAAATCTCCTCTTTTAAAATAGTCTCGACCTCCTGATTTCCTGAGATGTTATGCTCAGAGTACGAGTTGTGAATGACTCAGCTACTACCACATTGAAGTTCAGCACCATTTCTGGAAAACAAGACGGACACAGCTGGTTTTGTGCTGGCTATTGTTAATTAGCTGTGGTGGCCTTCTTGAATGGGATCGACCCCAGATAACTAATCTGATGTAAATCTAATCCAAGTGCTTCTTTCTGAAAGTTTCATTAAGAGTAATTTGTGAGCTATTTTGCTAACAGACAAACTGGATGGGTTAAAACTATTTGTTTTATTCAGCTATTTCCGACCTTTGCTCAACACACATCTGCGTTGTAACACGGACTCTGTTTGGTTGAGAAAACAACAACAAACAAAGAACAAATCTTGCCACGTAAACTACTTTTGTTAAAGTATCCGGTAGTTTTCTGTCACAGAGGTATGTTGTTTGTGAGAACAAGTTTTTTTTTAAAGCCTGGAAAGGGTTAAAAAGCCTTTGTTTGGTTAGTCTAGCTTAGCCTTGAAGAAGACTTTAGCCTCTTTTTCCACACTCAGCTGATAAAGGTTATGATCATTACTGGGGAGACAAGCTGACTGATCAGCCAATACTGGTCAAAAATGACCAGACTATCCCTTTAAATTTATACTTGGTTTACTCTGATTCTGTTTCTGTCAAGATAATATTTCCTGTGCTCATATTCAGAGACTGACAAGTTTTCCCACATTGCAGTGCAGGCCCTTGCCGACCCCTCCCAGCTCCGTGAACAGCTGTGTGGTGTGGAGGGGGTGCGCTCGCGGGGGAGGTGTGTGTGTGTGTGTGTGTCTACTCTTAGGAATGTGGGGAGTAAACAGAGGTCACAGCAACATGCTTTTTATCTGGAGTTTAACTGAATGAGCAGCTGTGACGAGGTTAATTTGAGCTATTGTTTGGGTCTACCGGTCCTCCTGACATCATTACCCACTATCATAGTTTGACTACTTTGTTTATCCTGGGGGGCGTGAGGTCACAGCAGCTGTACGTGTGCAAGCATTAAGCATAACATAGTAGACATCCTCTTGTGTTACTCTGTGTCCAAGAATCAGCATCACATAAAAGATCATCAATAAAGTTTCATTAGAAAAAAGCATTTTAAATTAGTAACACACGATGGAGGGGGATGTATATTTTATTATATATCCCCTTTTTAAATACTAGGGCTACCCCCCCCCCGATTAATAAAGTATCTATCTATCTATCTATCTATCTATCTAT